GTTTAACCTCTCCCATAAGGAAGAGTGGAGCAATCTCATGATATGTAGAGCTTGGAGCAGTGAACAACTAAGTATCCCTTGCTTTGAGTGTCAAGACAGTCATATTTCTTCAAGTCTTAGGGTGGTCACATTAAGGCTTTCTCCCCACTCTTCTGGGCATGCATATGCATATGCAAAGAACATTTCTGCTAGGATTGCCACCAAAGTAGTGGAAGTGGTTTCTGGGTATGTGGACACATGCACAGAAAACCTGCAAAAAAATTTAAAGCAGCCATGCTGAGCCTTTGTGATTCACAGTCACCCTGACACTTCAAGTAGCAGGTCATGAAATACCCTTTTGAATGCATTACACAACTCTAATATTCCATATCAGTGTACTTGTGTTCTTGCTTAATGCATTCAGATTGACTGATTTTCACTACTGGATTGACTATAGATGTTGACTTATATGTCAGTGAGGAAAGCAGAGATGTGGGTCAGAATGTTTTCTGCAGAAAATTTTCCAGGGTCAAAGTTTCCCACTGAAAATGTTCTACTTCGGGTGAATTTGGCACTTGAGAGTTGTATGAGATTTTGTTGCTTTATTGTCGATTGCTCAGTGTTCTCTCCAACATTGCAGTAAAAATATTTTTTTTCTATGTGTCAGAGTGTTAAGAGCTTTTTAAAACATTCTGTTCAAACCTCATCAAATAGGCAAGGATTTTTTTTCATCATATAATGTAGTCTCAATATTCACAGACTATAGATATTGAGATGAATATACTGGTTGGAATAATACTGATTTGCATAGGCAAAACATCTCTGGATAAAAATATTTGGGAGTTTGTGATGGCAGCATGAAGTTGGATGCACCTAGTGATAAGTTACTGTAATATTTCTGGTAAAAATCTAAGTTACAAAAAATGGATGGAGGAAAATATTTGAGAAACTTTAATGTCAGGACTGCCATGTATTAGATGTGCCAATCTATGACTGTGCTGTTGCTTTCCTTACTTTTAATTGCATTTGCCATTTTGTCTGATGTAGAAGACACCAAGTTGAGATTAACCAGCTTGCTACCAGTACTTTTGCATACATGTTATTTTATATCCTTGTACTATTAGTATTCTACTTTCAGGGAAACCTGTGTGTATAATCCAGGCACATTGACAGAATATTACTACTGTATATTGCTAAGGATTCTAAGGCACACATTTGACTAGTGTCAGGCATTGGCCATGCATTAGGCTTATTCTTATTTTCTTTGAATAGCACAATTAATGTTGATTTATGATTGTGTAAAAAAGTCACTAGTTATATAGATTAGCTGCTTTTCACAAAAAACCTGTTCACACTTACTGAGTTTTATTCACTGAGGAGCCATTGGTAAGTGTTCAGGAACCCTAGAATTTTCAGGAACAATTTGGAAGGCATTTTGGCAAGATTACTCAATTCTTTGTAGCTAATTTATCCTTGAAATTAATCAGGAAGAATAACATCAAAATATAAAAGGTAAGATTGTATATTCATGGCAAAAAAAATCTTCCTTCTAATTAAGATCACTTAACTTGGCAGGAGTTAAGAATGATCAGTCAGATTCAGAAGCAGCCCAACCTTTGTGAGCCAACATCACTTGTGGATTGAAAGACGAGGTTATTATTACTAGATAGTGAGGGCAGGTGGATTAATTTGTACTTTTTGTGGCACTGGAGAAAAACAAGAACGTGGCATGTGCATATAAGACTTCTGCAAGATATTGTTACAATAGTTGTATAATTCAATTTATGTCCTGTCTGTCTACCCAAAGGATGCTCAGTTGTTTCTGGCTTGAGGCAAATTATTTCTCTAACCAAACATTACTGGCTTTTGGCAGATACATTGAGTGTGTTTGTGGAAGATATGCTAACTATGTAGGCAGAAAAGTTTAATAGTTTTGCTACTTAGTATTTGGCATGTTAGATAAAAATCAGCTTCATTTCTCTCTCTCTCTCTCTCTCTCTCTCTCTCTCTCTCTCTCTCTCTCTCTCTCTCTTCTTTT